TAGTGTGGTGAAAAAGAAATTACTGTTCATATAGATCAGCTGGATGAAATCGTTATTATATTACTTAGGTTGCAAACAAAACACCACTTTTACCACTAATTAGTGTCGTAAAATTTTATTATTTTTAAATTCATATAGGAGGCCACATATTCTAGACAACCAAGAAGAGTTCATGTGGTGCTGATGCGTGTTTTAAAAATACTTTAACTCTCTGATTTAATTTCAAATGATAAACTTATTTGAAATTGAGACTACTTTCAAGCCCGTACTTATATTTGGAGTCAATAGATACACGATAATCTAACAATATACCTTAGCAATAAAATGTATTTGTACTAGATATTGTTGAAAGGTGCATAAAAAGAGTTATGGCAATCTCAGTCTTAAATTTTAGTCAAGCATAAATAACTGTAACTTATTATCAAAAAAACTAAAAAATAATCTATGATAAAAATTAATTCTTCAAACCTTTTGCTACCATTCCTTAACCGTTCCTCTTACTTAATAAAGCACATATTTCCTCAATATAAATAAAAGTGAAAATCTCTTTCAAGTAAATATATAAACACCTGCAATGGAGGTACTAGTTGCTGTTCATTTAATTAATTTAATAATATAAAATTCTAAAGTATGTAGGGTTTGTAGCTCTTTGGAAATCGGCCTTTGGGGCAAGGCATGAATTCCTTCCTACCAATAGTATTCGTTAAATCTAAGTGAGCTTCTTTTTAATGTACCATATGACTATATATTTATTTTGTAGGTGGCCTCAAATCCGAAGAAAATTATACAATGCATAATAATTATCTATTTAATAGCCATTTTACATATGTCATTATTGAAAAGGTATTAAAGATAATGTGAAATGCTATCATCTTTAATTCGTTATAAAAATATATTTAAAGATGAGAACACTAAGTCACAATATTATATTCAATCATTAAAGTGAAATGTGATACAAATAATTACAAACGTTTGTTTTACTGCCTCAGACTGGATTCAATCCCAGTCGTGATTTCCCACTTTTACTTACGACCAATTCAATCTGAGCTGGGCCAGGCCCAAACAGAGGGGGAAGATTTATTGGCTCAATTTTATATATGACTAAGGCTCAATTTAATTGCTCAAGTGTTGCGGTTAGTTAATATTCCTTTAAAGTTGTACTATGCATAACTTATATTGGAGATATTGGCAATTAATAATGAAATCTTAATATATAAACGAAAGTTGTGTTGGTTAGAGCGTTTATAACTAGAAAACTACTGAACCAATTGGCAAGAAAATTTACAGGGATATTTTCTTTAGGTACTAGAATAACATAATAGGCTGTTTCCGTTTCAAAAACCCTTAAGAGAAGCGTCCTATGGCCCTTTGCAGTTTACATGTTAATCTTATGGAAGAATGTTTTATTTTGTTTACCATGTCATGTTTGTCATTTCTTGATTAAATTAAATTAAGGAAACAGCTGTTGTAATGATAACCTAATTTTTTTAAACAAATCTATGCATAACAAAGAGAGCTATCAAATAGGTTTCTATTCCATTTGTTTTTTACGATTATTTGTTGTCAAATGTAACTGAAGGCAAGTGAGCGCAGCGAACGAGATCCAACCTAAAGCTGAGTGAGCATAGCGAACGAACTTCAACCTGGAGGCGAGTTAGCGTAGCGAACGAGCTAACCTGAAGGCAAGTGAGCGCAGCGAACGAGCTCCAACCTAAAGGTGAGTGAGCGTAGCGAACGAACTTCAACCAGGACGTGATTGAGCCATGCGAACGAGCTCATCTTGAAAGTGAACGAGCATTTTACATAAAACCACATTAGGACAGGACGACCTCTGTCGGGCCAGCTAGTGTATAAATAAATTTACATGTTCAACAAGGCCAATATTTAATAATTTGTACAACGTATAAATGGTACTTATGTGTGTTCAAAAATACAGTAAATACAAGACTTAATTTGCAACGATGTACTTATTAAGAACTATAGGCCTATTTACATTCAAACCCCGGCTTATATTTTAAAGTCAGTAGATCCAAAGGAATAAAACAACATATAGTGGTTTAGCCATCCAATTCGAATATTGTTTTCTATTAGATTAAAATGTTTAACTTAATTCTTCTTCGATATCAATCGAACCACTACATATGAATCTAACAGAAAACTCCAAGCAAAATTCCAAAAATCTTTTACTACATTACTTAAGCAAAACATTACCCTCAAATAAACAACTTAAAATTTTCAACAAAGTAAATAGAAACCCATCAACAAAAAATTTTAACCAGATGGGCTATATTCTTAAACTAGCAGAGTACTCGTCCTTCGTACGGGGTTGGCGAATAAGTATGTACTTGGCCTTGCGTTTGCAATGGGAGAGGACACGGTTTAAGAAAATTTAGTTCCCCTAATTTACGGTACGCTATAGTATAGCATATCTACCATAGAAGTAATGTTCTACTACTGCACTTAAACAATAGAGAAAAGAAAAGTTATCATTGTATATCACAGCTTTTTGTTGCTAGTTAGTTCAAGCTTTGACTATTAATACAACAACTCAAAGGTTCAAGTTAGCTGTTTTTATAAATGCAAAAAGGTTTAATTGTGCTGCACCCTGTTTGTAAACCTCATAACTTTTTAATACTATTTAATATCATAAAACCAACTTGTGTAGTTGAAACAGCTGAGAAAATTCTTTGATTCCTTTTAAATATGAATACTCATAATGTTAACATGGAAAACTCCAGAGGCACTGGGGTGGAGCCCGAAAAGATATTTGAGATAAGAACTAGCTGTGTACCCGTTCTACGCACGGGGATCTTATAATATTCAGTTGAAACCTTCTTATATAACGAACAGCAGTTGGTTTGCATATTTTAAGATATGCTGGCCAAACTATTATACATAGCTTCATTTTATGTTGTTTTTTGTTGTTCCGGATCGGTATGACAATCAATAAAAGGTTAAATTACCTCTGTGTCTGCCGGTCGATCCTATAACGGTAGGCTTACTTTTATTTTTACTATCTGATCTCGTTTGCATGGCTCAATCACGTCCTGGTTGAAGTTCGTTCGCTACGCTCACTCACCTGTATGTTGGAGCTCGTTCGCTGCGCTCACTTTCCTTCAGGTTAGCTCGTTCGCTACGCTCACTTGCCTTCAGGTTAGCTCGTTCGCTACGCTCACTCGCCTCCAGGTTGCAAATTAGCTGTTGTCATAAATGTAAAAGAAATAATAGTGCTAGTGCTGCACCCTGTTGGTAATCCTTGTAACTTTAATGCTATTGAACATCACAGAACAGAACCAACTTGTTTAATTGAAACAGCTGTTAAGATTCAATAATTTCATTTCTCATAAGGTTAACATGGGCTTCCAGAAATTCCACGTCAAAAATCGACAAAAACTTGATTTTCAAGGGTTTACTGTTAAATATCTAACTGTCTCATATTCGATGAAATACGTCTAAAACCATCTCATATATGTATAGTATTTGGAAAATAAGTTTCAGGCGGGACAGTGCTATAGTTATTGAGGAGTAGTTGTAATAAAGTGCGTATTTTAGCGTTACCAAGAGAATGACAGATAGACAGACAGACAGACAGACAGACAGACAGACAGAAATTGAGATAAGGTTTGATTCGGTTTCTCTGACCTATGAAATGTAAAAATAACCAAAAAGTTCATTATTCTAAGCAATGTACAGACAAAACTCTAATTTTATTTATATAGATATGTTAATCAGGAATGTGAGCCACCACCATACCACATTTCAGCCTAATCCAACCATTATTTGATGCGTGATTGAACTTGACACAAACAAACAAACAGGCAGAAAAACAAACAAACACACGAACTTTTATATTTATAGTAAGATAGTAATTCTAATATTAAGGTACTTTTCTTATGAATACACAAATTTTAAATGCCTGTGGAGCTGAACGTGAGGATATTATTCAAGTGAAAATATGCATATGTCAATTGTCCATTCATGGGTATTGGCTATATTAGTGAAAACCTAGCTCAATTGGTCAAGTAGTTTTTACGTGATCGTTCATGGTACATACAAACTTTCACATTTATAATATTAGTGACAATAGATGGTTATTCAACCCTATATTCAAATACTATTTAACAAACATTTTATTTAACTTAAATGTATTTACTTAAAACCTATAGCAGCACAGCATTGTCAAGTTAAATTTATATTTAGAACTGTATGCCTAAAACAGGCTTTTCTATCCTACATAAAAATGTTGTAAAATGCGAATGTCCACTCTTAGAAAACTTGTAGTATTTTCTTTCCTTACCTTTGTTGAAAGCAAAGTCAACAGCCTCGATAGAGAAGAAAGCTGTTCTTTATAGCATAGTAAAAGTCATACACACAAAAGCACTCTGTGAAAAGCAGCCTTGAAGGAAACATTGTAGTAAAGTAAAAGGTAACAATGCTCGTCATTGCATTGATACGTAAGTATTTTCCTAAACTTTATGATATTGAGAAAACATCTAGAATAATAAAAAAAGATGTACGAACTACATACAATTTTACTAAAATTTTGGATGATAAAGTTTTTATTCGTAATTTTAAAGTACATATTATTTGTATTATTATCTATATAATTAATACGCTACATAATACTTTGTCGGTTGAACTCCCCCGCCATTTCTCAACCGATTTTATCCATTGACGTCTCATTGGGAAGGCGTGTCGCGTAGATTTTCAAACTGGCTTTACATTTTTTTTAAAGTCCCTTGGGCTCTGCCCCTGTGACTGTTAAAGTTCCCATGTTTTCCTTATGAAGAACATAATTGTTTACATTTTGATCAGCTGCATAATTCAATTGCTGTTATTTTTTTTGTAGGATTATTGTTACCAGCTGAGCTATGAAGTATGAATCATCTGCTATTTGGTTTGTTTACATTATTGTTTAGTTTTTGTAAATAAATAGTTTTTGGTTGATTTTACTTAAAATGAGTTTTAATAATTAATTATTCTATATTGGCGACGAGAAAATGCCGAGGAAAACAGACCAGTCTCAGTATAGGAGTGTAATTGACTGTAGTAACATGTCTTGCATACAAGATAGAATGAGCAGATTTTCATTTAAAGAGTATAATAGTGAACAATTGTGGGAAGACTACATAGCTCGTTTTGAGTTGACCTGCAGAGTAAAGGGACTAGGTGGTGCTAACACAGAAGAACAAGCGGCTCGGCGAGATCTTCTATTGGCAAATATCGGAGAGGAGCATCTCAGGGCACTGTCGGACCAGATGTATCCAAGGACCTGGGAGGAGTGCACCTACGACGAAGTCAAAGAGGAAGCCAACCGGTTGTTCAAGCCTACAAGGACCCTTTTTGCAACAAGGTTTGAGTTTGAAAGAGCAATAAGAAAAGATGGTGAGACATTTATTTTGTTTTATAACAGATTAAAGTCTTTAGCTAGAAGTTGTAAATATGGAGATAGCTTAGATGAACGAGTACGAGATAGGTTTGCAGTAGGCAGCAACTGTCCAGAATTTGAAGTCGAAGTCAGACAAAGATGGCCCGAGGGAGTTAATAACCGAGGTGAACGTGTTAAGTCAACAGTAGTACTAGAGTTAGCTCAATCTATGGAACGTGCGAGAGAAGAAGTTTCCAAGCATTCGTGTAAAAATGAGATTTTCAAAGTAAGTGACAGTAAGGAAAAGAGGAAACCAGAGGTACAGAAATCTACTGGTTTCAATAGGTGTTATAGATGTGGGTTTACACATGACCCTAGTGAAGATAGGTGTCCTGCTGTTTCTGCTGTGTGCAAGAAATGTTCAAAGAGAGGCCACTTCGCAAGAATGTGCAAAAGTAAAAATATTTTTTTCAAGAGAACATACGGTAATTTGAGAAAAGTAGATGATTCTCGGGATCAAACTTACGATGATGAGTGTAATTCTGATATTGATGTTAGCGGAACACAAATTAGGTCAGTCAAGAGTAAGGTTCCGAGAGCTACAATAGATGTAGAATTGAACGGGTATAATGTTAGAATGGAGTTTGATTCCGGGGCTCGGGTAAGTGCTATAAGTTTGTCTCTTTGGGATAAGATCAATTCAAGTGGCGAATCCCTCAAAAAGACGTCTGATGTCATCACTGGCTATGGGAAAAATAAGCTAGAAGTCATGGGTAAGGCTTTTGTGGACGTTACTTTACGTAATCGTACTAAGCGATTGCCAGTTATTGTATTACTAGAAGATGATGTTCCATTATTTGGGTTGCCGTTGAGTGTAGCTTTCAATCTTAATTTGCCTAGGGAAGTAAGGGTTAGGCGTATTGATAATAGAAAAACAAATAGTAAAGAGACAGGCAAGAATGAAGAAATTTATAGAAAAGAGTTACAAAAAGAAGTTGAGACATTAACTCAGGAGTTTTCTGAACCCTTTCGTGATGAGCTAGGAACGATATCTGACTCTAATGAAGTTATCCATCTAAAAAGTGGAACAAACCCTGTATCTTACGGGTCAAGACGAGTTCCATTCCCCTTAAGGGAGGCAGTGGAGAGAGAATTACAGCGATTAGTACAGGAAGGAGTTTTGGAAGCAGTGGACCCTTCCGAAACACCGATAGAATGGAGTACCCCAACAGTCAACGTAGACAAGGGTGGAGGTAGAGTCAGAATCTGTGGCGATTTTCGTACAACCTTGAATCCAAACATCGTTCCGGAGAGACACCTCTTGCCAACCTTTGATGACTTGACTTCCAAATTAACTGATGGAAAGATATTTTCAGTCATAGATCTTCGAGACGCGTACTTGCAAATGAAAGTACACCCTGAGTCACAAAAGTATCTTACGATAGCAACTCATGTAGGCTACTTTCGCTACAAAAGGTTGCCTTTTGGGCTTTCCTCAAGTCCAGCAAAATTTCAAAGGTACATGGAAAGTTTACTAAAAGGACTTAATGTCGGAGTTCTACTTGATGATATAATCATTTCTAGTAAGGATAAGACCACCCATATAACCGCTCTTAGAGAAGTTTTGAGACGGCTAGAATCAAGTGGAATAAGAGCAAAACTGTCAAAATGTAAGTTCTTTCAGAAATCTGTAAAGTATTTAGGCCATAGAATAGATGGGAATGGTATTCATCCCTCCGAAGACAAAGTTGAAACCATAAGACACGCACCAAGGCCAAGAAACGTGAAAGAATTACGAGCCTTTCTAGGGGCACTAAATTTTTACGAAAGGTACATACCTAATCTTCATGCGATCGCTTCGAACTTGCATAAGCTGACTGGTACGAAGACTAAATGGAAATGGACTGACACCGAACAAACTACGTTCGACAAGTTAAAGAATATCCTGTCATTAGAGAAGACATTAGTCCCATACGACATATCAAAGCCGATCATTGTTGAATGTGATGCTTCTGAACAAGGGGTTGGTTCAGTGCTGTTGCATTTGATGCCGGATGGAACGGAAAGGCCAGTCATGTACGCCTCGAGGACACTAACGGAAGCAGAAAAAAGGTATGCTACAGTTGACAAGGAAGCACTGGCGTTAGTTTTTGCCGTGAAGAAGTTTAGACAATACCTCAGTGGAAGACATTTCAAGGTGAGGACGGACCACAAGCCACTTGAAAGAATATTTGGAATGCATCGAGATCTTACCAAAGTAGTAAACAACCGTTTGGTTCGTTGGGCTTTGTATTTAATGTAGTATGATTTTGAGATCCAGTACATCAAGGGACAGTTTGGCTGATTTTTTGTCTCGGTTTTCACTCAAGACACAAGAAGTATTAGATCCAGATGAGAGAGAGATTCGAGCACTGGTTCAGGAGAAAATTGACGTAGTTTATCCAAATCACGAACTTGTAAGGGAGTATAAGAAAGACCCAAATATGAAGAAACTTATAGACTATCTGGAACATGGTTGGCCAAAAGATACAGAAAACTTACCGTCATCTATGAAACCATATTGGAATAAGAGAGAAGAGCTGACATTAGAAAACGGTATAATCATGCGATTAGGAAGAATTGTGGTGCCACAGATTTTGAGAGAAAATGTATTGAAAGAACTCCACAAAGGACATCCTGGAATAGAGGCCATGAGATCCCTCTCAAGGTATTATGTTTGGTGGCCTAATCTGAATAAGGATGTTGAGGTTTATGTCCGTAGATGCCACCCTTGCCAGAGTAACCGATCATTTGACACAGAAGTACCTCTATATCCTTGGAATGTGCCAAGTGATCCTTGGGAGCGAATTCATCTCGACTTCGCAGGTCCATTTGACAACAGATTCTGGTTAGTAGGAATCGATGCTTACTCAAAATGGGTTGAGATCGAATTTATGGACCGTACGACAACTGCTGCTCTTGTAAATAGATTAAGGACTTGGTTTTCGAGGTATGGTATTCCAAAAAAAAATTGTATCCGATAATGGCACTCCCTTCACGTCCCATGAGTTTAAGACTTTTTGTAAGAACAATAACATATGTCATGTCACATCGGCACCGTATCATCAAAAAACCAATGGTTTAGTGGAGAGAATCATCAGAACCTTCAAGAGTCGATACAGTGCTTGCAAACAAGAAGGTCTCAGTTCATCACTTGCACTTTTACAAGTTTTGCTTGCGTATCGAAACACCCCACAAAAGACCACAGGACAACCACCATCAGTCCTTTTCTATGGTAGAAGATTACCAACAGCTTTGGATAGGTGGAGGTTTAATAGCAGAGAGAGAATAGAAAATCAAGTGTGGCGACAGAAGTACTACCACGACTTAAAATCCAAACCAAAGGAGTTTTCTGCCAAACAAGAAGTGTGGGTTCAAAATGAAACGAAGAAGGGCTGGAGACCAGGAACAGTACAAGAAAGGACGGGAGAGCTGTCGTACACAGTTGTAGTTGGGGGAGATGTAAAGAGAAAACACGCTGACCAGCTGAGAGCAAGAGAAGGTGCAACTGATCCACCTCAATGGAAAATGCAAATGGAAACTGAAAATGATGATGTACATAGTTTCGGAAACTCAGCCTAAATTGGGTGGGGAGAAATGTAGGATTATTGTTACCAGCTGAGCTATGAAGTATGAATCATCTGCTATTTGGTTTGTTTACATTATTGTTTAGTTTTTGTAAATAAATAGTTTTTGGTTGATTTTACTTAAAATGAGTTTTAATAATTAATTATTCTATATTTTTCAATTCAATTAAACGCATGGGGTACATTTACTGATTTTGTTGAAATTTAATATTTACTATTTTAATTTACATTCGTAAATATTACAATGTAAAAAATCGAGAGAAACTGGACAATTTTATTTATTTTACCAAATAAGAAAAATGAATTTACATAGTACTGTATTTCTTGAGAAATCATTGAAAACCCCGATTTGTTAACCGTGGAAACATAGCAAAGTCATAGAACGCCACCAAGTAGAAGAAATAGAGATTTCAAAAACAATTTACTATCGCTATCAACCTATATAATGAAGAACTCCTACAGCTACAATATGAAGATTCCCACAAACAATGAACAAGGATGTTAACCGAAGTGCTACAATTTTGTAGCAAACATGGACTTAACTTTATGATGATTGGCAAAGGAAACCCCTTTAAGTCTTAAATTAAACTGGTATGGCAAGGACATTATTCATTAAATATAAGTTTTCATAAAAGTCAAGTGATTTTAAAAGAAAGTGACTACATCCAAGAAACCTTAATAAATATTTCATTGAAGGATTCGCATTATTCCCATTTAAGGGAAACAAAAAAACCATCTGAACGACATTAGGCTTTTCAATTCTGAGTTTTTCGGGAAAATATAATTTACGATATAACAGTAACTAGTCAAATGAATGCCAAATTATGCAAATAAAATTACGACAGAGAGGTTATGCAGAAAATCAGGTAGGTCTTATTCATGTAAACAAAATGTTGTCGCTATAAAAAAATTACTGAAATTTGTAAACGTACTGGCGACAATGGGTGGTACCATGCAGACTACATTATCATTGATGAAGATCAACACAGACAGCCTAATACGGCTATAAGTGGGAAACATTTAAAAAACAGATCAGCTTTTTCAAAATGATAAAATATTTACAAGAAATGTTGATTATTTGGAACTGTTAAGCACGTAATCTATGAGTCGAGTCTTTGAAACTCATCCGAAATTATGATGATTTTTATTTGTTTTGAAATAAATACTTTACTTCTTTGAAATTGCTCGATTTCGAGCAACGTGTTTACAAGTCATCATTATTTTTGTATGTTTAGAATCAAAGAGACTCCTCGTGGCGTGAGCCACAGAACATGGTTGTTTTATTTATGCTAGTGTTAATCAAAGTATAAGTTTCTTATTGGATTGAACTTACTTGGCCAAAATAACCAAACAATGTAGAACTAACCATTCGCTTGGTATGCAATTTTTCCTTTAAATGGAACGCTGTGCAAAAGAAAATCAAAACATTATTTTTCATCTAACAAATATTGTTTTGTTAAATAATAAACACTTTTCATAAAGGAACAAACTACAGAATGTCAGGTCGTGCATTGTATACATTCATAACTGACTAATCAAAGCACACCAATAATTTATATAAGCTGTATAATCACAGTCAATGGAATAAACCAAGTATATACTATTAAACGTACAAATACTATAAATCGTATGATTTAGCCGTATAAATGAACAGTTTTGTACGTCGAATTTCTGTAACTGGAAGATTTCATCGACGACTTAAAATAACAATGGATATTAGTGATTTTCGGAAGATCGAGCCCGTTCCTTTTTATACCAATGTTCAACACACAAACACTTTTAAAATAATCTTCTAACATTATTACACAGATTCCTGTTCAGTTCGTTGTATTACGAATATGTTACATTTCTTTCAGAAATTTTTAAATGCGCATATTTGTTCTGCAATGCAAAATTTAAACATACAACAGAACCGTCCTCTTAATTAAACAAACAGCTGTGTCCAGTTGAATTTTCAACGCAATTTAGCCTCACAATAAAGTTAATCAACTCTGCGTCACACGTTGTGCCATATGTCGCCACCTGATGACGTATTTTACTCTTCGTTGCAATATAAAAAAGGTCGAATGATTGTATGAAATATGGTAAATAATACGTTTTCGCTACGCTACTGTGAAATGACCTGTTTTAGTTACACGTTGATTACCTGAATTAACAAAAACAAAATTTCCCTTGGGATGATGCAAATGCTGATGCAAATACACCAATTTATTTCAAAACAGGAGAAGTTTTGCAAACCGATCCTGGAAAACCAATCTGGACCCACTGATTTACTTTCTTATACGTCAAAGAAGCCCTAATATTTAAATCTCCCATGGATTCCTAGATTCATAACAATAACATAACACAATCAAATTTCTAAATGATTCTTATAGCTATTGGGCATGAATTTTTCCAAATGTCTTTCATAAGTCCATTAACAAAAAGATACAATAAAGAAACAGGATTAATGGGCTCATGTATCACGTACACTTTTCTTTGTATGGACAAAAATATACCATTAAAGAACCTGTTACGTTTATTGAATAATGATTTAATCGATTTTTCTGACAGCCCACCAGATACATCTAAAAGCCAGTTCTACATTTAGGTGTTCCCGTGTCATCCAAAATAACTGTTTTTCCCTAATAAAAATGAGTTTACTAAAAATAAATTAATTTGGCAGTGCAATTAACTGGTAAGATTCAGATAATATATTTGGAGATAATAGTAACTTTAAGTTCTGTTCTGTATCTGTGGTATTCAGAAGACTGGAGTTTCAACAATCTCGTTATAAAGGCATTGCTTCTGTGGAATGCTTTAGACGGACACTCTCGGCATCCTATTGAAGCAACAGTTGCGAGGTTTAGAATAATTGTAAGCATTCCTTTGAATTTCCTCAGTTGCTTGGTGTTCTTGCCGTCATCTTTGTATTGGTATTTAGTAGTCATCATATTGGAACAATAATTTATTCTATACCAAAGCTAAATAATCCAACTAATATTGTGTTAGCTGTTTTTGTTTGCTGTTAGTGAATTTCCCATGATAGGGGATATGATATTAACGTAGATCTCATGGTAAGACCTGGATTTACTTTTTCGTTTTGAAATCCCCAGAGGCCAAAAACCCCATCCGTAGGGTGAATTTTAAATGAGTTCCCCCCCTACTTTTTTCTACATTTCTTAAAATATCATCTCCGGACCACGTCAGATCATTGTTGAGTAGTAAGTACTTCATTTTGACTGGGTTTACATTTTTGGCCGCCATCTTGGATCCGCCATATTGGATACAAAGTTTTTTTTTCAAATGTAAAGGTAGGGTTGTGACCCATTATTTCAAACAAGAATTTTACGCTGATTACAATGCCGCAATTCGTTTTTAAAAATCTTGATCCGTTCTAAAGTTATGAGGAGTTTTTATAACTTTATTTTTAGCCCATTTTAACATTGTGCATTAACAAAATAAGCCCATAATCTCAAAATAGTGTTAGATAAAGATAAGTATACACCACCATTAATTGTCGACATATTTTCACTTGGTTATGACGGATGTAAATTTTCCAGCCGCCATCTTGGATCCGCCATTTTGAAATGTGATCAATTAATTTAAATATGAAGGTGGTGTTGTGACCCATCATTTTGAACTACTTTTTTATACTGGACTCAATGCCGCAATCCGTTTTTGGTTATCAAGCTTT